TCTATCATACTTCATACAAATGTGAACCAATTGCAGCTGAGGTATGCACGTATTTTCACCAAACGAGCTGGAAAGCGCCAAAGGTGCAGCCTGTGCTGTGCAAACAGGGCAGGAGTTTTCCTTCTCCTTTTGTTTCTACCACCGAGTGACTGATTTATGAGCATCCTCCACAATAGAGCCCTGTGACAACTATCCCAAGATAAATCCTGCTTGTGCAAACATTTTCAAAACCAGCAGAATATCTGAGTCATGCAGGAAAGCATAATAGGTTGCTGCAGGTCACCCTGCAGTTGATACTCGCTGCACTCAAGCTGCAGGTCCAGAAAAAAATAAAATTTATCCCAGGAACTGATTAGCTGCTTTGCAAGTCAGATGGAAATTAGGCTGCAGTGCTGTTCAGAGGTGAACTTCTGACAGGGAGATATCCCAGAGGTGGTGCTATGGTTAATGCAAGTCTTTTTTCCCCACCAAAACTAGAAGAACTAGCTTGGAGGGGGCTATCTTCAGAAGCCCAAGGTGACTCAGGACAATAGTTGTTGCTTACCCTCACAATTTTCATGTATGCGACTCCGGAGGATGCTGATCTGCTGCAAATTAGCAAGCCTGCATTCTCAAGGCCAAGAACGCTAGTGAGAGGAGCACCAAAGCTCTTCATTCGTGATCCTCCACTCGCCAGGCTCCGCAGCATCTCTGTTCCTACTAGTTCCGATTGCCACATCATTCTCTTCCGCAAGAGCAATTTCAGCACTGCTTTTACCTTTTTATTGCTACAAGCCACTTGTTGCCAGCCCAGTTCTTGTTCACACTTTCTAGGTAGCCAAGATGGATTTGCAAAAGAAAAAGCTATCCAGATGGCCACAGTCCCTCCTTCGATACAATTATGCAGGAAAGATGACAGAAACCTCCTTCCACTGCACTTCTCCCATTTCCAAAGTCTCCTCTGCACGAGCAAGCTGGACTAGTATACTACTTCATTTTAACATCATGTTAAGCAGACAAACCTTTGCAGGGGCCCTCTTACTTCAGAGAGAAGCATATTTGATTTTCATCAAAACTAACTCCTACAGATTTACCCTAACACCCAAACAAAACTGCTTTAAAGCAAAGCAGAAGCATCCACACATTCAGGTATTAAATAAGGCACCTCAAGTTCTAATTCCACTTTGAATCATGCAACTTTCTCATAACCAAGATGCAATTCCAACATGCGAGCAGGTCAAAAGAAACCTCCATCCTCCAGCAAAGCAAGTTTTCTGCACAGTCGAAAAGTGACCAGCTTACCCAAAAGGCAGAATCCAAATCTGTTTTTAAAGCAAATCTATCAGATATTACAGTAGTAAAAACTAAAACAAGAAACAAACAAAAACAAAAGAAAATTAGCAAATAAACAATGATGGCAAAAAGGCTAAGTGAAATATTGCCGACAGGTAAATCTGAAAATCCCCATAAATAACAGAACCATTTAATTCTCCTTCAGTGCTCTGACCTCTCACAGCACTGAAGAGGCAAGATAGCAAAGGAAACAGCATGCAGCAGAAAAGATGCTGAGGGGTACATGGATTTTTGTAGAACACCTGCCATGAACAGATGAGAGACTGTAAGTTAATGCATTAATTTTCAGTAAAATATATGAATTCAAGATCATCTGCCATTTTACATACAATTTTTACTTCTTTCATATAGAAATCAAATCCGTGTTTTAAGCAAAAAATGTTACACTTGCCCCTAGAGAACCAAAAAATCTTTCAAGAAAAAAAAACGCTTTTATTAAAAAAAGAAAACATAAAAGAAAAAAAACCCTTAAAATGCAGCAGGCAGGGGGATGAGGGCACACCCCCAGAGGGGGCACAAAAGCGAAGTACTGTGATGCTGAAACTTAATGAATTTACGATTCCTTTTATTTCATCAGGTCTCTGAAATTAATCTGAATAGCAACACAAAGCCAACCTATAAATGCCTGACTTCTCCTGGGCAAACTGCTAGCTAAACTGCGGGGAATTTATTGTAATTTTAGCAACAGGCAGGGGGGTTGGCAGAGCCCACAGCAGATCAAGGGCAAGAGTTTACCAACGGCTACGACTACACTGCGCTGCAGTCCAGCCACGAGTGTCTGTGGCACCCAGTGCTGACGCGGTACCGGCCCCTGCCACCCTCTCTCCCAGCCCTCGCAGGAAGCTCCGAATGAAGCTCATTTCCCCAGCAGGACTCTCTGGAGGGAAAGGTCACTTCTTATGAAGGTAACACATTTTTTAATTATTATTTTTTATGCCTCCCAGGGGAGATGAGGAGGGGGGAGCTTCCTTGCTCAGACAGAATGAAATTTTCCTGTGTCAGTGCCAAGAATAGACACCCTAAATTCAGTGTTCCTAATCTCCAGCCATCCATCAGCAGCAGGGTGGGACCATCTGATTCAGATTTTCTATTAGCTAGTGACTTTATGTACTAAAAAAAGTCATTGTACCACCCATTGTTCCTGCTGCAAAAGCAAGGATTTAGCAGCTACCTCAGTAAGTGCTGAAAGTACTTCCACAGCAGAGGTTTTATAACTGACACCATCCTCTTCCCACCAACTCCCAAGTCCCCACATGCCCCTCCAACTCCCTGTGAGCTGCTGCTACAGCAACATTCACTGTAAGGTCCCTTCTGGATGCCAGGGAAAATCCTCACTGTGTGTGACTTGTGTGACCTACAGTTCCACGAGGAGCAGGATGTGAGAACTAACCTAATCCTGCAGCTAGAGTGATACTCTGGTGTCAGCCACTTGTTTACAGAGCCAGTTACAGAGATCGAGGCCTTTATTGAGTGGCTGCTGTATGAAAGCTAAAAAAAGAAGATAAAATAACTTCCACAGTTCCATATTTGAAAAAGCATGGGAATGTATCAAAACAGTTTACAAAATATATCAGCCAAATAGGTTGCATCTCTCAAATAATACATATTCATTGGTTATTTTCCAGAAAGGAAAGTAATATTTGAATAGTTTAGCATTAATCATTTACAGAATAAAATCAATAACAGAATAAGTGGAAGTAAACTCAAGGCCAACTACAAAGCCAGTTAACCCAGTCAAACAAATCCCATTCATACATTCGCATTCTGCAAGTTTTCAAGTCCTATAGGGAAGTACCAGGCACTGGGAGCAAAAATAAAGAAACAATCCAAGACCAGTCCCTATCAGTTAAGCACAACAAAAAGCCAGTATAGGTTTCAGTGCTTCACACACAGTTTTTTTCTCCTTCATCTTCCCAACAGCCACAAAACACACAGAGAGCTGGCTCACAGGTCCCTCTGGATATAGCAGCATGGACCATCAATGAGGAACAGTCTTGGTAAAGAACACAAGTGCTTCAAGAGTTCACACAGCACCATAGAAGAAGAAAACATATCAACATGGAGAACGTAATTTAACGAGATGAAAAATCAGCAGAATTTATATAGTCATAGTAAGGACAGAAGGAGAAAGGACAGAACACCTTCTATCTCTTGTTCTAGTTCAACACCCCCATCCGAGCAGCTCTCTCGGAGGAAACACCACCTCTACCAACACACCTACGAAGATTCTGAGAAGTGACTACTGATTTTGTGTGTCCCATATAACCCAGCTTAATAAAGGTAACATTTTTGGAAGACTACAAATATTCTCCTCTAACTACTTTACTTTTCAGTGCCAACATTGGCATCCAAAAACACCACAAAATTTTACTTCCTTTGAAAAGGACAGCCTCCAAGGTCAGTAATGGAAACGTAAAGGAGAAACTGCTTTGAAGAAAGCAAAAACTAAAACCTCTGAGTAGCCTCTGAGAGAGAAGGGGAAAACATTAATTGTGTGATTAATTAATAACAGCGAGAAGCTTAGAAAAGAACCTTGCTAATTCAGAATCATGCCCTGGCAGAGAACTTGGTTTATTTGGTTTTTTTTTACTGTTCCATATTAGTGAAACAAACCAACAGAAAGGCTTTCAATGAGCCTGCATTATAAATTGCAAACCTGACAGGCTGTTTTGATGAGTGTTTTGTTTTCTATAGTGAAGGACAGCTATTATGCAGTATTCAACGCAGCCCCACGGATTTCAAATAAGAAGAAAGAAGCTAAAGGTCTTGTTCAGACGAGCAGGTTTTTAAGGAAAAAAAAAAAAAGAGAGATTAGTAACTCTTTACTCAAAAATTAACTAAAAGGGATTTATATATCACCCCAACACATCAAGTACACATTAGTTAAAAGTTTACACTATCTCCTTTCATTTAGGGGTAACCAACTTATTTAAATACTTCACATTTCCAAGCATTCCAGTTTTACCATTCATTATACAATATTCCACCACTGGATATCCCAATTAAGTTTCACTTCAGACACTAACTCTTCTATTTTCCCCACCACGATGACACATGGAAAGCACTTACACTATACCAGATTATCACCTGTGCAACATGGAAATAACATACGCTAACCGAGCACCCAAGTTCACCATGTTACATGACTTAATCTCTCCAAGGCATCTTGTAGGAAATTCTCCTTTCTGCTTTTAAGTTTTAAAAATGAAGGCTTTTATTTAATCAAATGTGAAAACACAGATATAAATAACAAATACTTAATAAGGTAAATATAAACCAACAGCATTCTTTATGTTATTTAACCTGGTATTGCCTTCCATTTATTTTACAGCCTTTACATTTTCGATTTCCAACATACTGCGGAGTAACTGTGCTACACAACTCAGTAGGAAGCTGGAGGTTTTGGGGACTAGGAAGACATGAGCCACTTACCAAAGTAACCAAACTACTCTGCAGGTGACAAAGAGTGGCTAGATACCAAAAGGACTAATTAGAACAACAGCAAATTACTTAACACTACTGAGCTGAATAGACTCTTAAATAATGATTCCTGACTTTGCAAACACATACAAGTATTCTAGGACATAACATGGTGAAAATGCTGTAGCACAACATACACATTATAGCAGGACAATCATTTCTGCGAGTAACACTAAAATACAGCTTACCCTTTCCACTTGCCCTTCTTTGTGCTTCAGTTTGTACACTTTCAGCCTCGGAAGGGACGTCTCCGCATAGTTCTTGTCTTCCATTCCTTGGAGCAGAACCCCATGGAATGCCAATCTGCAGGTATTTGCGTGAATATCCGTATCCAGCTTGGAGCCGATCACGAGGCAGAGTTTAGGACAAGCGACCGGCTTTTCAAACTCCAGCAGGGCCCACTGTTGCCTGGGCAGCTGGACTTCGGCCTGGTCATTTTCTTTGTTCTCCTCCGAAGTCTTCGAGTCCTTGGACAAGTATTCCTCTTGATAAAGATAATCTTTTTCAAAATTAAAAACATTTTCCTGAATTTCTTCATTGAAATCAGCAGGGGCTGGACCGAAAAACATCACTCTTCCCATGACTGTTTCATGACCGACTGTGATGTGAAACTTTGCCTTTGTCTGAAGCGGTCCTCGAAAATACTGGATTTTCTTCAGGGAAATGATGGCAGCGTGGATAGTGTGAAGTGATTCTGGGGTGCAAATCAGACCTCGCTCTAACAGTTTGGGATCAAACTGGGTCACACAGACACCTACTCTGTCACCCTGCATAGCGTAAGTCACCGGCGTATGGAACATCTGCATAGACTTGACTTTTTTTGTTACCTGTGCACAAAAGAGCAAGACAGAAAACAAAACAAAATTAACTGCACATGAATTACAAGCACCAAGAAACACTAAACATCCTGCTCTTTTACAAGGAAGTTCGCCTTTTCTAGAGGAGTTGAAAGCTAACAGGCTGAGAATACACTCCTACCACTTAAAATTAGCACAGGTTTGAACCATTTACCTAGTTATCTCTGTGTTCATGATTACCATGGCCACAATTACTTTGACATGTGCATCACCTGTGCTGCAATCTGCAAACCAACAGCTACACCTGCACCTAAGAATATCCTATCTGATGTATTCTTCTTAAGCACTGGTACCATCATATGTTAAATAGTACAAAATCAATCTACAGAAACACGTAACTATTCTCCTACCCTTTCTATGTGACTTTGTCATTCACTTCTTTGATTTGGTTCAATTTAACTGTAAAAAGTCCAGAACTGAAAAATTTAGTTTATTGATTTCTACCATATAGCACTGAACCCAAGCAAATCTTGTAAACTACTACTGCAGAAAGAGTAATAGAAACATCTAAGTGGAAATAACCTACGAAATCCTGCATATTACAAAGAAAAAAACATCCTCAAAGTTTTCCTGCAAGGATTTACATGTTCATTAAATATAAGGCTAGTATCACTGCCACTAAAACGAGTTCACATCTTATGATGATTTTAGGAAACACAGGGCAGCAACCCCCCTTTAAACATAACATTTAACTCTTCCTAGATGCTTTGAAAATGGAAACAGAAAAAGGTTGGTATTAATAGCTATGCTGTTATATTTCAAAAAGTTCTCAAGCAGAAGAGAAGAATCAAACAAGCTTTTCAAATCAAATAAGCTGTTCACTCTTTGACTGAACTCTCTACATTAGATGCTAAGCTTTTAATAGGGAAATGATAGTTTTTGCCAAGAATAAAATAATCCTCTCCTAAATACATATTAAAGTTCTTGGAAAAGACTCATTACTACAAAAAAGTTACACCAAGCATTTATTACAGAAGGACTGAAATCTCAAAACTCAGAACCAAAACCAAACTCTCCATCGAAATCTCTGTTCCAGAGATCATTTCCTTGGTAAGTTTTTATGACTATACAATGAATTATACCATGAACATGGATGGACAGGGAAAAAAAAATTTAAAAAATCTCACTATCTGTACCATTTTCTTTTCCCTTCTGCTCTCTTCGCTGGCTTACTACCAGTTCCACAGCTATCAAAAAGTTAATGCCAGCTGCTACTGTGCTATTCTCACATTCACACTTCCAGGATCTTACTCATCTGTAACTGTATATTCAATATACAGAATGTTTGTCCTTTACAACCAAAAGAAAACAAGAAAAAAAAAATCTAGCAGACACACAACTCCTGGGAAACAGCAAAAAATATTCATTCTTTCTTGAAATCATAATTACACAAATTACAATGGCCGAGAGCTTCACTGCTATGAACATTATTTGTGTTCTCTGGGTCACTGGCTGCTAATCAAACCCAAAAGATACACCCTTTTTTATTATTATTGTAGTAGCACTTTTCAAATCAAGTACCACAGCAATGCCTGGGTACTTTCAAACAATTTTCAGCATATTATGAGAAAGGAGATCAGGAGCTGTGTTTATGCAGGAAAAAATCCCTTACTAAAAAGACTTGACCTAAATCACTCAGTGTGATCTTGACCATGTCAGAACAGACATAAGAGGCTTTTACGAGAAAGGAGATCAGGAACTCTGTTTATGTAGGAAAAAATCCCTTTTACTAAAAAGACTTGACCTAAATCGCTCAGCGTGATCTTGACTATGTCAGAACAGACATAAGAGGCTTTTAGACAGTTACTAGGACTTGAGTTTCCAATTGTTTTGAACTCAAATATTTATGTTATCCTTTTAGTGAGACCTCCTAAACAGGACTACCTGTTCTAAATGACTTGGAAAAACACAATTTAGCAGTTCATCACTATTCTGCTCACTGCATGCTTGTATCCTAGAAGGTCCAAACTACAAAAACTTGAATCAAACCCCTCCTTTTCCTTCACTATAACCAATACCTCTGATTCAATCACAGTCTGCAATTGGTGATGCAACATCTAATCTCCTAGAAAATAAAAACGCGTTTCAGAGAACAAGCACTACAGGATTTGGAAGCATCATTTGAAATTACCGGTGCAGACCATCCTGGGAAGCTCTCTATGATTCCATATGCAATAATATTGGCACAGTATCTCCATTTTCTACAACCATGAGCAGAAGGAATGAGCTTGCAAGAGCTAAGCAATCTTCCAGCCCTGCCATTCCCCAACATAAAAACGGAACTGAAAACTGCATAAAAAATCTGCACAGTTTTCTACCCTGAACAGAGACAGAATGCAGGGGTTTTTTTTCCTCCTTTATTTGAATATATGAACATTCAGGTTTGTAATTTGTAAAATCCCTTTTAAAAAACTCACCTAGATAGTTAAATTAAAATATTACAGGAAAACCTTTGCCAATTTCTAACATTCTTTTACACATTCACTTGAAAGTAGATTTGCAGCATTGAAAAATGCCATACAGAGCGGACTTGTATCAAAATATTGACTGCCTTCTTCCACATTTCTTTGCCAGTTTCTCACATTCTTTTACACATTCACTTGAACATAGATTTGCAGCTTTGAAAAATGCCATACAGAGTGGGCTTGTGCCAAAATATTGACTGCCTTCTTCCACATTCCTCAGCATTAAACTACTTTAATAGGAAGGTAAAATTCTAAAATGCCACTGTCCATGACGGGCACTTGCTGTAATTGTGCCTGGAATTTGATTTTATTGTCAATTAATGAACTTTTGTTATTGGATATTAAGGAACAAAGAAAAGGAAACCAAAGCAGTCGGTAGGGAAGCGCCTCCCTCTGGCCCCCAGGCTGGGCTTTGCTCCCAGAGCCCTGGTCCCCACGTCCCCAGGGGAGCGTGGGGACAGGACAGGGCTGGCACCCGGCACCCTCCTGCTCTGGGGCTGCTCCACCATGAAGCCCCGGGGACCACAGTGTCCTCCGGGGTGTCCCTGCCCCGGCACGGGTCCCACCACAGCCACCACCCTTTAGAGGTGTCTCCTGTGCCCCATTTTCATGCCCCAAGCTGTACCTTCTCACAGGGCTCCTCCTGCATCTCACATACCCTCACACCTCCCCTTTGCAGCAGCCACGATCCCTTCTCCATGTACCTGAGCAGAGGAGCCACGTGCTCTTCTGACCACCTACAATTTGGGCAGGGGCAGCTGGAACTGGTTAGAACCAGCTGGAACCGGTTGTGACCAGCCCAGGGCAGCTCCCAGCACCTGCACCTGGGACAGGCTCTGCTCTGCACTGGCCCCAAAGGAGGATTTTGTATCCACCTCAGTGCATATTGTTGCTAGCCCCCGATCAGTCTCTAACAAAAGTCCACAGAAAGTCGAGGATCCTCACGAATTCCCTCCTAGAAAATGGAGTCCTAATGCCCAAGCCCACTGCAGTGTTGGAGTCAACTGGAAAAGCATCCATGTGCTGCACAGTGTATTACTAACCCACCACAAGCTCTGCTCCAAGAGGCCAACGAGGGCAGAAAAATCAGTATGGGTAAACTAATAATAAAAACACTTCATTGCATGCAAACAACATAGGTAAACAGCAAACTTGGATCGCATTATAAAGCTCGCTACAAATTAGGCTTAGAGAGTCGCTCACATTTTGCTTTCTAACTATGGCACAAGCAAATGGACTATATCTCATCATACAAATCCAGAGCCATGTGCTGAAATCTTACATCATTTACAATGGGATTTGCTTTATTTTATTTTTAATTTGGATAATCACATTAGTGTTCCTAAAGCATTATGTAAAGGTCTGTAAAAAAGGGGTGAGAAGGAAGATGACTGGGAGATGCACATGTGTTCAAATGCAGATTAAAAAAAAAATGCAAAACAGAAATTAAAAGCACCCAAACAGTTCAGCCCTTGAGATAAACAAATGTATTCAATATAAGAAGAGAACCTGTTATTTGAAGACCAAAGGAAAAGCCCACTAAGATTTTCAAAGCAATTTGGTACAGACTAATAGAAAACAGGATACAGAAATTGTCCACTAATGACTTTTTCCCCTGATATGTCAGAGCTTCTTTTCCTTTATTTATCCAACTTCCATTAAGTTATCAGCCATGTGCCATTGCTCATAGCTTCTTCAGATAAGAACCTAGCCATCCTGCTGCCTCCCAGTGCTGCGAGTACATCTTGCTGATACAAGAGATATAGCCACATACTTTTCCTGTAATGCTGATGAGAAACTGCAAGTTAGAATAAATAATTATTAATAATCTATTGGGGAAAATGGATTATAAATGCAGTATTTATGAAAGTATTATATGTGCTGGGGAAAAAAAGAAAAAGCACCTCATGTTTCAAGTGCTTCATCGTTAAACTTGCATCTGAACAGGAAGAGTAATTATCGAATGAAGAAAGCATGGCTTCCTGAGGTTCAAAAATACAAGAACAAGCTTGGCTGAATCAGCATGCAAATCGGAAAAGAAGTCTGCAAGGCACAGACTACCCATACACATCTAACAGCACCTTAACACCAACCCGTACGACTGCCTGCCTGCAGCTGAACTGCAGGAGCAAACCAAGGCTCAAGCTGTTTCAAAGGGCACCCGTTATTTGTTGCCTTTGAAAAGGATAGGCTTCCTCCCCACTGTGCTGTTACAATTCCAAATAAAGCATAAGACATCTCATTTTCCAATTTCTACTACTTCCTGGTGGTCTTGGGATATCAAGCAACATTGTCAGAAATATAACCATTTGCCCAAAAGAATATGGCAATTCTTATTTTTCAGTCGTCCTTTGTGTAAGTTCATATTGAAATTAAGTAAAGCTCAAACTGAAGCATCAAACAGTTCTTACATTTAATCAAATTGTTTCAGAAGTCCTCTAAAACCAAAGCATGCCAAGTTCTCTTTTATAAATGAGGAATAGCCATTTACAGGCAAGATTGAGT